ACGTATAGCAGATGAGCAAACTCTCTCAAAAATACGTCTTGCAGACGTCAAATATACATCTCCGTGATGTAGGTGTGCTGTCAGGGCGTGAAACTGTATGACTGCTATCCACAAACCATGGTTTACACTTGTTACTCCAAAGTACTTCAAAAATACCATGGCATGCGTAGTTACTCAAGGGTACTAGCTTTGGTTAGTGACATTTGTATTGCCTATGTATACATATAGCCTACAGTTATATGTATTTTCTGGTTAAGAGTGCCAGCAAAACGGCCTTAATTATAAATATGAAGACGTACACGTATAAATAAATATGTGAAGTAAATTCGTCCCTCTGGTTTATTTGGTAAATATCGCTCTCTGCTGGCTCTTGAAACAAATTACGATGTTACACTTTGAATAAAATGTGGACATAGATTCGTGATATTTAGCTGTGTGTTTATGATAAATACCCCTTATTTGATTTGACTATTTTACATCACTTGCTAACTGATAAATGTGTATTTCGTGTTTCTCTAAACAAGGAAGCTCGGAACTAACGGCGCAGTTTGCAGAAGCGCCACGGACGATATTTGCCGCGGCACCGGTAGCTCACATGGCGCTGCGTGTGTTAGCGCGAGAAACTTATGCGATCAAGACAAAAGCCCTGTGACAAAGCTGCGCGATGCTGTGCATGGGATCTGACTGACCTGTCCTTCATGATGGAAGCCGTGTTTCAAGCCCCTAAACGGCGGGCGAAGGTTTATGAGTCGTTTGAAGCTCCTCTCCCCATCTCACTGGGCGCAGAGGACGAAGAGCCCATCATCTACAGAGCAGAGATCATCAGTCATCATGTCCTAGTCACAGATCCTGCTCACATACTGCCTCTGTATGAGCGGGTGAGGCGTGCACCACACCGCAGTACATCAGACATGAGCCCAGTTCACTTCTCAAGCTGTAATGTGTTTGCTCCTCAAGGGTTACTTCGGTAAAGGAGTGTTCTCTAGATCCAGACCTGAGCACGAGATCTCTCAGCAGTGGACATGTAGGTTGTTGTGGTCGCTGGAAGCATTATAACATTCAATGAGGAGGGTGGCATCTAAGCTTTTTATATGACCGTGACTCTTTCCTTTGTTTTAGACGTTGGAGACCGATGTCTACCTGTGATCTCCTCGTCAGAGTAAGAAGGTCTTGGACCGCTTTGCTTTTACTCTCGTGTGTG